GCTAGCTTAAACTGAAAGCTAGTAGTTCCTTTATTAATAAAATATGGGGCGTTACAATCCATCCTCCTTATAAAATTTCCGTCCTCGGAAATTCTAAAACTGAAATGTACAAGCTTAACTTAAAGCTTATACTTACTGATTACATGACTTGAGAATCCAGTAGTTTAATACTGAATAAGAGACTTGATCTGAACTGAAAATACATCAATTCACAATTAAGCGAATTTAACTGATGACTGAGAAGGGACACTTTCTAAAATAAAGTGTTCCACTGATAAACATGATCTCAAGACAAAACTCTGAAGCGTTTGAACACCATCTCCTGACTGCTGGTTGGTCTCCAATCTGAATGCTGGTGGTGAAAACTTCCATCGTTGGTACACACGGAAGATTCCAGAGATGCTCATACGTACAAATGAGGATAACTAGCTATATTGGTAATTACCCTTCGTGACTGTCTGCTTGACAACGCGGCACATCGTTCGCGGCACATTGTAATGCAGCACACCAGCTCCTCATCAAGTGAGTGCGGCACGCCTGCATACAGTACCTGGCGAACCTTGCGCCTGCGTCGTCGTAATCTGATCGCATCTATTCCTCAAGCTAGTAATCTCAATGTCCTTTGACGCTACTCTCTGTAATCTCCCAGTGTACTGAAATTCGAGCATGACATCATGGAAAGCGTCGGTTGTCATCCTGGCACGATCTGTTGCTGTCGATTGGTCCTTCTTCGTTGCGGCGTATGTCAACCTGTGGTACCTGCAACTGTTTACTCCCTCCGAGGTTAAACTTAACCTCAAGAAGAAGTCCATCCTGAATGAATAGCTCTCACGATTTCTCAGATTTTTCAGAATTTGAGAATCGAGGCGAGAACATGCTGAAAGATGATAGATAAGTCTTGTCTTGCTAGACAGACTATCCTAGATCTTGACATGACTGGCTGGAACATTCATATAACTGAATGATCAAGACTTGACTCTTATGTGACTGATTCATCCTAGCCTGAACGCTGAAACTATCCCGAGGCAACTTAAATAGTCGTTTCGAGATTTAAAACGAGATATTTACTGACTTACTTGACTTGATAAGGTACGACTTCAAGTCTCCAGGTAAATTTGGACTAATGGTCTGCATATCAGACGGCCACATTAAACCCGGCTGAACAACTATTATACGTCGACCTTATATCATGAATATAGACTGCAAATCGGGAACATGAAATTGTAACTATGTACTGTATAGGGCTGCTCCAGTATCAACTGGTCCCGCAAGTACAAAGTAATTAGCTGATCTGATCCCTGAAAATCATAACTTGAAATATCACGACTGATAAAATATCTGACATGACTGACTTGAAAGATTGATATTACATGAACTCATACTGCTCCGGTTTCAGCTTCAAGCCTCCATGGTATACCCGGCTGAATGGCTATTATTTCAAGCCTCCATGGTAACCCGGACTATTGACTCTTATACACTGGAAACCGTTATCTTAACGATGACTTGAGAAACAGGATTAAGATTTGTTTAGCACAAATGCTTTCAAATCTCTTGAAAAGTTGATAGCCTGACTTGAATGAACCTAGAATTGAATCTAGAGTTCTCATACTTAATCCCTTTCTAAGGTTCTGAATCCACTCGCCAACTATGCGCGGATCTCCCTGTCCTGAGAACTTCTCGGCATGATAGTCGCGGAACACTGCAGCCTGAGATGACGCCATTTGATCATGGAGAAGGAATTGGAATTATTGAACATGATGATATTCTGACTGATTATTAAGGCACACAGATCTCTTGACGAGTTGCCAAAAAAATGGCCGATAAATACTGACATGAAACCTGAGGAACTCTAGAGTCATATCGGAAGATACTAAAGTCTAGAGTCATATTTGAATGCCCTGAATTCTAGAGTTATATCTAAACTCTAAAGTCCGAATCTGAATTGAGCATCTTAACTAAGTCTGAATACTGATTTC